AAATGTAAAGAAAATTGGGGGTCACCGACTTCGTTTCAGAGAGAAAGCGTGTGGAAATCTACCCTAATTTTGAAAAATTGCCGCACGTAATTCAGCATGGTCTACAGGGGTTTATAGTTAAAAGATCGAAGGTGAGTCAACGGAGGCAAACGATCTTAGTCATATTTTGTAGAAGTGGGTCTGTTGCGTGAATAGTTCCAAATTTTCCAACGTTTTTAGCAAACTTAACCATTCAAGAGGCATTTGAAACCGCCGCACAGATAAACGAAGAGCTGAAAAGAACGGAATTCGATGGTGCATTTTCCAAAAAGTAAAACTTCTAATCGATAGATTTTCTTCATTTTTTCGCTAACCGTGGAAGATCGGTAGAGAAAACGGTCCATCAAAAGAAAAATAGGGGTCACCGAACGTCCAAGATCGTTAAATCCAGGCAAAGCTATTTTAAATGACATTAATTTCTATTCACCCTGCAAGCATGCCCTCCTTATTCACTGTGTGCTGGTGGCTACACTTGGTCACAGCAACCTTCAGCAACAGCCTTAGCTATTATCCTTTGATGATCGAAACCTTATGAAATTAAAAAAAAAAACAAAAAAAAACGCACTTTATGTGACTATCAATACCAGTAGAGGTAAAGTGGGAAAGAGGAGCAAAGAGTCACAATAGTTGTCACATTGTAGAAATAATTGTTTACCTTTATCAGTGCTATATAGTTTACCCAGTCAATATACTAGCCCATCAGTCTTTCCTTTTTTCGAATAACGAAGACATTGAGTAGAGAACCCAAGGTTCTTGCTTCTACGGTGTGCGATAACAGAAATAAAAGCAATTTTCTTAAGTCATGTCACGTGACTTGTAACGTCTCTAACTGTGACTGACAGGTGTTAGTAATTATTCTTGCCTTCGGACATGTTGTGTTGTTGTTTCTCGTAAGCAGATATCAAGTTGTCGTCCGTCGTTAGAGCACAGACGGACGGACACAGACTTGACATGACAAACACGAACAATTCTTCTAAAACGACGTAACGTTTCAATTCAACAAGAGGACATTTTGAGCTGGTCATGTGACCAAGACTAGTAAGTTTATATACTTTGACTGACAGGCGAGGTTAAGCTTGACAAGAAGGCTAATATGTCTAAATTTTCTTCTTTATATATTAAGATTAGAGTTGTTACATTTTGCGTTGTTACAATACGCGTTAAAGAAGTTGTTACATTTTGTGTCAAAATTCGTTACAATTCGAGTGATAAATTTTTTTTTACATTTTGCCTTAGTTGTTACATTTCGCGGCGTAACGGCCCCTTTTTCCACGGAGCATTCATCCGGTGGAGTAATCCCACAGGCTTAAAACTCTACTTTCACCGCTGAGGTAAACCACTGTGTTTGATCTAAGTCAAACGTCTCAGTGGTTCAGATAAGTGGTTGAGCAAGGCGTGACTTCACGTGACTAGGAGAAAATTCACTCTTATCAATATTAATGGCCAATTAAAGAAGCTGAAACAAAGCTTACCCCGGTTTCCGTAGCATGAAGCGACTACTCCCCCCTGGATGGGAAAGGAAAACTCATTAACTAGAAGAGAACACCAAGAAAAAAATAAACCAAGAATATTTATGTTTAGTTCTAACCTTTTTCTGGCAGCCACAGCTTCAACCACAGCTACATGTAATACACTTGACGATATCGAGGCACGTTTGTACCACCTTCATACTCTGAGTGCAACAATCCCAAAAATTAGAACAGCACGCAATAAAATCATCATCTCTGCGATCGTCTGCGCGATTACCAGCTTCTGGGAAGGGGGCAGTTACTACTTTGATCACATCATCTCTGCGATCGTCTACGCGATTACCAACCTCTGGGTAGGGGGCAGGTGCTACTTTGATCACATCATCTCTGCGATCGTCTACGCGATTACCAACTTCTGGGTAGGGGGAAGGTGCTACTTTGTTCATTTTGCTGAAAGTGTCAAAAATAAGACCGTAAGCAGAAAAAGTGTTTGTCACAGTGCTGGGCAATTAAGAAAAAGCACTCTAAAGCTAGAGGAAAGCTGAAGTGTACGTCATTCCTCTGAGACAGACCCTGTCCTGAGATTTTTGTCCATCGTAACCTATTCTATTAACAAAACAAAAACTTGCGCTTCCCGTACTCGTTTAGGAGAGGCAGCAGCTTGTATATTCGAATAATTCCATAGTAGTTCCATGATCATGAATATATATTTGTACGATTTCTTCCCAAATTCACGTATTCGGAGCCTGTTTCTTATTCTACATTTGGAATTGCTCTGTATTTATTCATTCCACAGACAGAACGATATTGCTCAACTCAAAAAAAAAAGAAAAAAGAAAAATGGTAGGTCAACTCTTTAGCAAGCTCTACAGGCCATAACGAGAAAGCCGCCATCTTTTGAATGTGTATTCTTACTGGCATATTCACTCGTGAATATGCCAGTAAGAATATACATTCAACTATGGTCACTGCTAAAAGCAGCTGTTGGTAGTTTACCTAATCCTTCAGCACGAGAACAACTAGTTATCTCAATTCACAAAGAAACAAGAAATATACCAATGTACAATAAAATCCACTGTTAGCATTATTGTGACTGACAGCGATGTGTAGCATATTCGCTGATTGACATAAGAGGTGTCCACTAATGGGAGTTTGCAAACGAAAAAGTCCAAACCATCCCCCTAAAGAGTGTTCGCGTCTTCCTGCAAAAATTGTCACTTACGCCGAATGAACAATCTACAGTAGGGCCTTAAAAGTAATTGGTGCCATTACCATAGTTCTATTGGTTCTATTACTATAATACTATATACTATATTTGTTCTGTTACAGCAACGGTAGAAATCCTCTTTGAAGGTCCTATCAATACTGATCCTCCTATGACATACAGTGACGTGTTGTATACTGTAGAAAAGGCATTGTGACAATTTGTTTTAATTCCAAGTGAAAAAAGAATTCTAAACCGGAACTTATGCACGTGCATAATACAGGGACAAGATTTAGTGAGTAAAAGGGACCAAAAGCATAGATATTTCTTTAAAGGTAACAGATAAAAACCTAATAGTATTGGTTTTATAACCTAATCCATTTAGCATTTCATTCCTGAAACGTTAATATAAACCACAGGGATCTCACCAAGAGGTGTATGATGAAAACTGAAAAGATAATAAGAGGAAAATTTCGCAAAATTCTTCACTAAGAAAGCAACAAAAAAATTCTCAATCTCGATACCATAATTACTCTTAAGTTCCCCATATTCTCGAGACCCCACCCCTTCCTCGCACTCAGTAGTCTCAGGATTACTCTCCTACTGATTAAATAACGTTTAAATGAATTTGTAAGCTCTCATTTTTGTTGGAAAACATTGACATTGATTCGTCGAACTTATAAAGTTTGATACCTCATATCCAGGGTTAAATACCCCCCCCTCCCCCCCCCCCCCCCCTCCCCCCCCCCCCCCTCCCAGCTTGTGAAACAAAGATGTTCAAACGCCAAAACAAAACTAGTGGGATCATAAAACATTCCTTTGAGAATGGAATTCTACACTACTGTGAAAACAATTATTATCTTCTCGCTTTTTACAACAAGTTAGAAAAGATAGAAAGCAACTGCACACCTTAAAGATCACTGCGAAGTCGATATCTCCAACCTAAAAGGGTAGTACTCATTTTAAGTTTAATTAATAGTTTCTATTACCTCACAGACAAATCGATCTCTCCTTCTGTTTCCTAAACTTCCGCGCTGAAAGAAATCCAACCCAAAGTTAAACAGAATCAAAAAAAGATCCATGATTCAAAAAGATTCTACCATTATTGCCTACATCTGAAGGCCTATGCAAGCGTTTGCAACATTCTGAGGACGAAATTTGTAGCGTCGTTGTATGTTGCTTCATTAATTTGGAATGTTTTAAACAGGTCCCGACGTCTCCTTTCTTGTGTAATCACTGAGGTAATATATCAAACACGAAAAGCCGTGTTTGACCACATTTTCAAACACCAAGAAGGGAGTTGAAAATACGAAGCGCAGCGGAGTATTTTTGACGAACTTCCAGGCGTTTGGAAATGTGACCAAACACTGTCTTGAGTGTTTGATATATCTTCTCAATCAAAACTAAAGCTAAGGAGAAAACGGAGAAATAAAATCGTAAAAATCTATGCTAATTAAGATCAAATATCTAAACACCCCCACGGTCACGATCTCCTTTGTTTAAACTTGATGAATCATTAAGGAGTTTGAGAAGCGCAGACGAAAAATGCTTCGTGCGTTCCCGACAGAGTTGGATTCGTTCATGTGCTCATCGATCACTCCTTGGCCATGGACAACGAATCCATGGAGAGTTTGATTCAGCATTTTGCGTTTAATTGCAAATATTGCACCATCCAAGGTGTTTGCACGATTCTTTAGTTTAACGCAACACTTATCTGATGTCAGAAAGAATTCGCCCTTATATATTAACAAAACGGACAAAAATGTTGCTTATTCGAAATGAACACGAAATGTTTTCATCTCAAGCACTGGAAAGTTTCATACTGGGTTTGATTTTTTGGAAACGGGTAAAACGCCGAGTGTGGCCTTAGTATATCTATTTATGACCACTTTGGCACCTTGGTCACTGATTCTCCTGACCTTCATTGTGAAATCGAAGTTAAAAAACTATCCTTCCCTCACTGTAAACAGAAGTAGCGAAAAGCTTTTGCTTTACAGCTAAAAAGTAAAGGGCTACTTGGCAACAAACAGCTTAGACGTTGCATAGTCCAAACGAATGATTAATTGTATTAAGAAAAGCTCATTGAAAAGGATATAAAAGCCGAGGTCGCTGGGTAAAATTAGCGTAGTCCGTCGTTGATTGGCTCTTGAGAGGGCATCGCTACTGAAGCGCGAGTTTAAAAATGGAAGACATGACGAGTGCTGTCGGGCGCAACAAGCGGATAACTCCTGAAATTGCTACAAGAGCCTTCTCACACAAATTGATGATGGCAATACAAACTGTTAATGGCAATAACTAACTAAATCTAACTCTCATCTTGTGCAATTATTCAATTAACAAAAGTCTGACAAGGGTAAAGTGGTGACAGGTTTCGTTTACTATAAAATATGCGCGTTATTGCGCAATTTATGGATGAATACAAAACTTCCGCGTTTCTCGGTGGGTGTCGATCAGTAAGTAACCGCACAGACATTACTGGTAGCTACAGAAAATAATACGTAGTATTAGGATATAAAGTCATACGCTTAAAAGAATGAAGTATTCAGTCGAAAATCTGCACGATAATCAGCAGAAGAGGGTCATAACAGAAAACCAACAAAAGAGCGCAGAATTACTCAATGCACTGCTCGATCCCTTTTCACATCTTGTGTTTTTTACATTTGAAATAGTTTTGTGGAGGTTACAGACTTAACCCCGTCTCTTCCATCTTCCATGCCAATTCGACGCCTCCTTTTCGCTCTTCTTTAACACTTAACAGGACTTCAGACATGAATACAGATGCTTAATCCGCATGCGTTGGAATACTCCCCAGTGTCCAAGTTCACTAGCTCCCTCGTGGTGTAAGCCGCTTCAATCTATCTTACAATCTTACCTTCCTGATCTCCACGGTTCTTCTCACTCCCTGCGCTCCTCAGTCCTTGTTTTAATTCCAAAAACTGTCCGTTTTGGTTCAAGATCTACTAGATCAATGAATAATTTTGCATGCAGAATCACTAAATGAGTCAAGAAACATGCAGTGAACACTTTGATTTGATTTTGACGAGTTAATTACGTATTCACCAATCAGATGTGCCGCATCTTGCGGTTTATTTCGAGAAGAAACCGCAAGAAACAAAATGTTTGTCTCGATCAGTCAAGAAACTCTATGCTTCGCGTTTCTATCATAAAAAGGCTCCTTCCAACTGTGGCTTTTTTGTAGATAGACAATGTAACAATAATTACCTAATTGACTACTCCACCAATGGGGCTTTTCAGGGCATCGTTTAAGAACGGTGCCTACTAAATACAAGGGTTTTTGCGCAAGGTTAGGACTACGCGGAAAAAGTAGATGGAATCCACAAAGAAAAATTGGGGTAGCCACGCATTTTTTCGAGATAATTAATCTTTATGACCACTTTGGCATCTTGGTCACTGATTCTCCTGACCTTCATTGTGAAATCGAAGTTAAAAAACTATTCTTCCCTCACTGTAGACAGAAGTAGCGAAAAGCTTTTGCTTTACAGCTAAAAAGTAAAGGGCTACTTGGCGACAAACAGCTTAGACGTTGCATAATCCAAACGAATGATTAATTGCATTACGAAAAGCTCATTGAAAAGGATATAAAAACCGAGGTCGCTGGGCAAAATTAGCGTAGTCCGTCGTTGATTGGCTCTTGAGAGGGCATCGCTACTGAAGCGCGAGTTTAAAAATGGAAGACATGACGAGTGCTGTCGGGCGCAACAAGCGGATAACTCCTGAAATTGCTACAAGAGCCTTCTCACACAAATTGATGATGGCAATACAAACTGTTAATGGCAATAACTAACTAAATCTAACTCTCATCTTGTGCAATTATTCAATTAACAAAAGTCTGACAAGGGTAAAGTGGTGACAGGTTTCGTTTACTATAAAATATGCGCGTTATTGCGCAATTTATGGATGAATACAAAACTTCCGCGTTTCTCGGTGGGTGTCGATCAGTAAGTAACCGCACAGACATTACTGGTAGCTACAGAAAATAATACGTAGTATTAGGATATAAAGTCATACGCTTAAAAGAATGAAGTATTCAGTCGAAAATCTGCACGATAATCAGCAGAAGAGGGTCATAACAGAAAACCAACAAAAGAGCGCAGAATTACTCAATGCACTGCTCGATCCCTTTTCACATCTTGTGTTTTTTACATTTGAAATAGTTTTGTGGAGGTTACAGACTTAACCCCGTCTCTTCCATCTTCCATGCCAATTCGACGCCTCCTTTTCGCTCTTCTTTAACACTTAACAGGACTTCAGACATGAATACAGATGCTTAATCCGCATGCGTTGGAATACTCCCCAGTGTCCAAGTTCACTAGCTCCCTCGTGGTGTAAGCCGCTTCAATCTATCTTACAATCTTACCTTCCTGATCTCCACGGTTCTTCTCACTCCCTGCGCTCCTCAGTCCTTGTTTTAATTCCAAAAACTGTCCGTTTTGGTTCAAGATCTACTAGATCAATGAATAATTTTGCATGCAGAATCACTAAATGAGTCAAGAAACATGCAGTGAACACTTTGATTTGATTTTGACGAGTTAATTACGTATTCACCAATCAGATGTGCCGCATCTTGCGGTTTATTTCGAGAAGAAACCGCAAGAAACAAAATGTTTGTCTCGATCAGTCAAGAAACTCTATGCTTCGCGTTTCTATCATAAAAAGGCTCCTTCCAACTGTGGCTTTTTTGTAGATAGACAATGTAACAATAATTACCTAATTGACTACTCCACCAATGGGGCTTTTCAGGGCATCGTTTAAGAACGGTGCCTACTAAATACAAGGGTTTTTGCGCAAGGTTAGGACTACGCGGAAAAAGTAGATGGAATCCACAAAGAAAAATTGGGGTAGCCACGCATTTTTTCGAGATAATTAATCTTTATGACCACTTTGGCATCTTGGTCACTGATTCTCCTGACCTTCATTGTGAAATCGAAGTTAAAAAACTATTCTTCCCTCACTGTAGACAGAAGTAGCGAAAAGCTTTTGCTTTACAGCTAAAAAGTAAAGGGCTACTTGGCGACAAACAGCTTAGACGTTGCATAATCCAAACGAATGATTAATTGCATTACGAAAAGCTCATTGAAAAGGATATAAAAACCGAGGTCGCTGGGCAAAATTAGCGTAGTCCGTCGTTGATTGGCTCTTGAGAGGGCATCGCTACTGAAGCGCGAGTTTAAAAATGGAAGACATGACGAGTGCTGTCGGGCGCAACAAGCGGATAACTCCTGAAATTGCTACAAGAGCCTTCTCACACAAATTGATGATGGCAATACAAACTGTTAATGGCAATAACTAACTAAATCTAACTCTCATCTTGTGCAATTATTCAATTAACAAAAGTCTGACAAGGGTAAAGTGGTGACAGGTTTCGTTTACTATAAAATATGCGCGTTATTGCGCAATTTATGGATGAATACAAAACTTCCGCGTTTCTCGGTGGGTGTCGATCAGTAAGTAACCGCACAGACATTACTGGTAGCTACAGAAAATAATACGTAGTATTAGGATATAAAGTCATACGCTTAAAAGAATGAAGTATTCAGTCGAAAATCTGCACGATAATCAGCAGAAGAGGGTCATAACAGAAAACCAACAAAAGAGCGCAGAATTACTCAATGCACTGCTCGATCCCTTTTCACATCTTGTGTTTTTTACATTTGAAATAGTTTTGTGGAGGTTACAGACTTAACCCCGTCTCTTCCATCTTCCATGCCAATTCGACGCCTCCTTTTCGCTCTTCTTTAACACTTAACAGGACTTCAGACATGAATACAGATGCTTAATCCGCATGCGTTGGAATACTCCCCAGTGTCCAAGTTCACTAGCTCCCTCGTGGTGTAAGCCGCTTCAATCTATCTTACAATCTTACCTTCCTGATCTCCACGGTTCTTCTCACTCCCTGCGCTCCTCAGTCCTTGTTTTAATTCCAAAAACTGTCCGTTTTGGTTCAAGATCTACTAGATCAATGAATAATTTTGCATGCAGAATCACTAAATGAGTCAAGAAACATGCAGTGAACACTTTGATTTGATTTTGACGAGTTAATTACGTATTCACCAATCAGATGTGCCGCATCTTGCGGTTTATTTCGAGAAGAAACCGCAAGAAACAAAATGTTTGTCTCGATCAGTCAAGAAACTCTATGCTTCGCGTTTCTATCATAAAAAGGCTCCTTCCAACTGTGGCTTTTTTGTAGATAGACAATGTAACAATAATTACCTAATTGACTACTCCACCAATGGGGCTTTTCAGGGCATCGTTTAAGAACGGTGCCTACTAAATACAAGGGTTTTTGCGCAAGGTTAGGACTACGCGGAAAAAGTAGATGGAATCCACAAAGAAAAATTGGGGTAGCCACGCATTTTTTCGAGATAATTAATCTTTATGACCACTTTGGCATCTTGGTCACTGATTCTCCTGACCTTCATTGTGAAATCGAAGTTAAAAAACTATTCTTCCCTCACTGTAGACAGAAGTAGCGAAAAGCTTTTGCTTTACAGCTAAAAAGTAAAGGGCTACTTGGCGACAAACAGCTTAGACGTTGCATAATCCAAACGAATGATTAATTGCATTACGAAAAGCTCATTGAAAAGGATATAAAAACCGAGGTCGCTGGGCAAAATTAGCGTAGTCCGTCGTTGATTGGCTCTTGAGAGGGCATCGCTACTGAAGCGCGAGTTTAAAAATGGAAGACATGACGAGTGCTGTCGGGCGCAACAAGCGGATAACTCCTGAAATTGCTACAAGAGCCTTCTCACACAAATTGATGATGGCAATACAAACTGTTAATGGCAATAACTAACTAAATCTAACTCTCATCTTGTGCAATTATTCAATTAACAAAAGTCTGACAAGGGTAAAGTGGTGACAGGTTTCGTTTACTATAAAATATGCGCGTTATTGCGCAATTTATGGATGAATACAAAACTTCCGCGTTTCTCGGTGGGTGTCGATCAGTAAGTAACCGCACAGACATTACTGGTAGCTACAGAAAATAATACGTAGTATTAGGATATAAAGTCATACGCTTAAAAGAATGAAGTATTCAGTCGAAAATCTGCACGATAATCAGCAGAAGAGGGTCATAACAGAAAACCAACAAAAGAGCGCAGAATTACTCAATGCACTGCTCGATCCCTTTTCACATCTTGTGTTTTTTACATTTGAAATAGTTTTGTGGAGGTTACAGACTTAACCCCGTCTCTTCCATCTTCCATGCCAATTCGACGCCTCCTTTTCGCTCTTCTTTAACACTTAACAGGACTTCGGGCATGAATACAGATGCTTAATCCGCATGCGTTGGAATACTCCCCAGTGTCCAAGTTCACTAGCTCCCTCGTGGTGTAAGCCGCTTCAATCTATCTTACAATCTTACCTTCCTGATCTCCACGGTTCTTCTCACTCCCTGCGCTCCTCAGTCCTTGGTTTAATTCCAAAAACTGTCCGTTTTGGTTCAAGATCTACTAGATCAATGAATAATTTTGCATGCAGAATCACTAAATGAGTCAAGAAACATGCAGTGAACACTTTGATTTGATTTTGACGAGTTAATTACGTATTCACCAATCAGATGTGCCGCATCTTGCGGTTTATTTCGAGAAGAAACCGCAAGAAACAAAATGTTTGTCTCGATCAGTCAAGAAACTCTATGCTTCGCGTTTCTATCATAAAAAGGCTCCTTCCAACTGTGGCTTTTTTGTAGATAGACAATGTAACAATAATTACCTAATTGACTACTCCACCAATGGGGCTTTTCAGGGCATCGTTTAAGAACGGTGCCTACTAAATACAAGGGTTTTTGCGCAAGGTTAGGACTACGCGGAAAAAGTAGATGGAATCCACAAAGAAAAATTGGGGTAGCCACGCATTTTTTCGAGATAATTAATCTTTATGACCACTTTGGCATCTTGGTCACTGATTCTCCTGACCTTCATTGTGAAATCGAAGTTAAAAAACTATTCTTCCCTCACTGTAGACAGAAGTAGCGAAAAGCTTTTGCTTTACAGCTAAAAAGTAAAGGGCTACTTGGCGACAAACAGCTTAGACGTTGCATAATCCAAACGAATGATTAATTGCATTACGAAAAGCTCATTGAAAAGGATATAAAAACCGAGGTCGCTGGGCAAAATTAGCGTAGTCCGTCGTTGATTGGCTCTTGAGAGGGCATCGCTACTGAAGNTCAAACGGCAAACGGCAGAAACGAAACTTTTGCCGTCTGTCTTCAGCTGTCTGTACAGTAGAGTGAAAATGTTTGTATTTGCGGTGAATAGTAGAAGACATGTTTTGTATTTTGTGTGATTTATTTAAGGATTACAAGAAAAGAATAAAAAATCAGTAACCTTTGCCGTTTGCCGTCTGCCGTAATAACCCAGCGCGCGCGTGGCGCTCAAACCATGTCTTGCGTGGTGCGCAAAACGTGTGCGCACTAACAAAAGTAGGCACCGGCCTTAATAAGCAAACCACAAGGTGCAAACCGACAACCCGGGACGTCGCATAGTTTCATCTAACGGCCACCCTACTGTACAGAACGCATTTTACAATTCACTATTGATCCAACGTATACCAGCAGGATCATCGATCCGGTTGCTTGCTTAAACATTTCATAGTGAAAAAGGTGAGCCTTCCCGTATAGGCCGTTATAGGGCGTACCCCTCCCCCCGGGTGTATATCAAAGGATTTAACGAGAATAAAAAAATTAATAAAATACACAGAAAAAGGATATGATATTCTGACATTCGACATCTCGTTAGACCCTCGTTAGGGATATGCTTGAATTGACAGGGATTTTGCCAGTTGACCTAATTATCTCAACTAACTAATCAAACAGCCTACAATAACAACTCGAAAGATCGTATAGCCTTTCACGCTATCGATTAGAGAATATAAAAGAACAGAGGGTTTATATTTCTTCGATTTTTTTTTTATGTGCCTGTTTTCACATTTGCCATGGTTTTGTTCTGTCTTCTCGAAAGGAACGAACGACTTTGTTGTCTTACTAATCTGAAAATGACAGTCGCATCTTGTATACATTTGTGTTCATATAACAATGGTAATCTCAAAGACCAAATACTTACAACTTTTTACAAGTGGGAAGTATAAATTGTGAAATTAAAATGCCTGAGTCACAGCACGATCACTTGAATTTTCAAGCACGAGTAAATTTTACCAAAATTATATTTGCATAAAATACGCTGGCCCATATTAATGGTGCAATATCAATGCCTTAAGACAGAAAACAAAGATTAGTTAAAGTTGAATAATCCTTGGATTATAAAAAGAGCATTAGCAACTAATGTCGCAGTGGGGAATTCATCACCATGGTTACGTCTTGCTCCAAAGCCTGGGATAATTGAGAGCTAAATTATCGAGACAATAGTTCGAACCACCTTTGTTCCAATATTTGAACCCCAATTACCCCTTAAAACAAATGGCTGACAGTCTAAATTACCGCAGATCCAAATTCCGTATGGTACAAACAAATCGTTTTGTATTACGATGGTTCAATTTGAACGAGGCTCCAAAAGAAACAAGTACGGCGAGCACCGCTGTGGCTGCGAAGAGACGAGTCTCCAAAATGTCCAAGCGATCACAAAGAGAGGCTTTGAAGACAAAAAGAAAGCCCTTTGCTATGGGCGTAACCAACAGAGGTACAGAGAATAAAACCGAATTAAACAAGGTCGGCAAAACAGATACGCAACCACAGGCAGCGATAACAGTGAATTTAATTTCGCGTAAACCCATCAACACTGATGAAGAAATGGAGGATATTGGAGAGGACTTAGAAGGCGAACAACGAGAGGCTGCCAAAGACGGTGAGGAGGAACACGACGAACCGGACGGCAGCGATGTAGAAACTTTGGACTTCTTCAGTGAATCGTCCGGCGAGTTATCCGACGAGTTAATTTTGCTACCGAATATCTTAATCCCTTGTACAAAGTGCGGTGACGTGATTAACATCTGTCGTCTGCCATGTCATCGGAATTTACACTCAGCTTTACAGACTCTCAAATATTCGCAGGATCAGAGGCCAAAGAATATCAACGCATTGGTCAGACGAAGAAAACTTTTGATCAAACAGCAGCAAGATGCGAGCTCGAAGAACAGACAAGATCCCTTCGGAGACAAGCATTTGCATAAATTAAACACCGCATTTGAAGTGCTACGAATCGAACTACAGGGGAACACGGATCTCAGATACCTTGCTGATCGAATTATTGAAGGTATGTAGGTGAAAAACGTGTTTTCAATCGATCTACGAGTAGATTTTTCATATTCGAGAACGTTATGGTTTTTGCATCAGTAAACCTAGAGGTGTCAATCGAAATATCGTGTAATCAATTTCACAGACACAAGAAAAACAGCAACAAAAGAACACCATTTTAATTATCGTTAATTGTTAACATTTCCTAAACGATTTATTTATCAAGTTCTAAATTGTTTGTACATTCAATCTGATTTTATTACTTAAGATAGCGAACTTTTTGCATTATGTATTCAGTTTTCATGGTTTAATCACTACATTTGATTTGCGTGACTTAATATTTGCGTAACCTGAATAACAAAACAAATTGCTCATTTCACCTTGAAATTGATTTGACTTGGAAAAAAACTTCTTGAGGATTATTTGTGGCGCGCCTGTGGCTTGCGTTACAGATTTGGTCCCAATGCAACACGCAAAAAAGCATTTCAATTTTTTCCGCTCGGTATTAGGTCCGAGTTTTAATGCCAGGCGATTGACGCGATTTGGAAATAATGAAATCGTTTGTTTGTTTGCATCTGTTACTCCGTGGTTTGTATTATTCAAAGTCATTAGCATTTAAGAAAAAACTCGAGTGTGACTCAAGTATTCCACTTTGTTTTCCGATTGTAGAGATAAAATTAACAGGCGAAGGTTTCGACTTGTCCTGTACCACCGCGGTTGGCATTTGCGAAGAAGCCAACAAAAGATGGAAAAACATGGAGGACGTTCACATCTTCCAAGACAACTTTCTCAACCATGTAAACAGCGCATTCTTTGCTATCTACGACGGTTACAGCGGCAAACACACGGCAGAAAAGTGCAGTCGGCATCTTCACGTGTTCTTAAAAGAGGAACTCGACTCCATTATGACGCAAAAACAAGCCAGACCAACGAAAAAAGAGATGACTTCTGCCTTTCGAAGTTCTTTTTCCAAAACTGAAAGGTTGTTGGTTGCGTCTGAAGAGGAGCGGTCGCAAAGTAGATGGAGTGGTTGCTCGGCCGTTACTTGCGTGTTGACAGATGACATGTGTTTTATTGCAGATGCGGGGAACGTGGGAGCCATGTTGCTACGAGATAACGATATCGTGAAAGTCCTCACGCACAAGCACGATTTGTACAACAAGAAGGAACGTGAACGGGTCAAGAAATCAAGCGGGGTCATTGTCAAGACCGAAAAATGCGCCCTCATAAACGGGGCCCTGAGCGTGACAAGGGGCATTGGGAGCATCGGTGATATGGCCTTAAAGAAATGCGTCATTAATGAACCTGGTGTCAAGATTGTTCCTTTAGATCCTTCGGATCAGCTTTTGATTTTCGCCTCAGGTGGGTTTTGGAAAATGTTTTCCTACGAAGAAACGACTCACCTTGTGAACGGATTTTTCGGTCAAATAAGAAAGGAAGCGAAACAACAAATTATTACAGGCAAAAAGATGAACAGAACTACCTCTGAAACGAAAACACAACACCAAATCGACGCAGAATATCACACTGAGCTCTTCTCAAAGACCGCCGACCCAGCTAATAATATTTCTGGTTCGTCCGATTTCTTCAACAAAACTGAAAGAAAACTAACACACAGTAAGAGCGAAGAAAACTTAGACATACTTGCAGCGTATCATCAAGATAATTTTTGCGCTACAACCGAGGAGAACAATTCCATGAACACTGACAACGAATTGACATACACAAATGATATGACATGCCGGAACAATGACGTAAACTATGACGTCACCATCCAATATCTACGTCATCACCGCTTTTCTCTGCCGGATAATACAACGCTGCAGCTACTTAAAGGCACGGAGGAGGCGGAATTAACAAGGCCTGAAAAAGCGCGTCTGTTGGCGAAGTGTTTGGCGGAAAGGCTAGTGAAAAGCGCACTGTACGCCGAATCTATGGATAACATCACTGTTTTCGTTGTCCTTTTGCCCGGGTTTTCTATGATTAACTGGCAGATGGTGACACCTGACATCTTGGAAGCGTTAAACGAATTTGTAGACGATGACGATGTTTATTAAGTAATTGCTGCAAAACACGGAAGAATATCGAAGTTAAACGCATACAAGGCTGCTTTCTACAATGTTTTCCAACGAACCGTTGGTTATCACCTCAACAATCTATCTTTTTCTGAGTCAGTTAACATGCTCTTGAAAAGTGCGGCATTTTCTCTTTATTGGCAACGATCACAAAGAAACCAGCCCGGTTAGTATGCAATCAATTTTGTTGGTTTTCCAGTCTTTTCAGTCAATCAATCACCAACAACCACACGTGCAATTTAAAGGCACCGCCCACGCTACGCTGGATAAATTTGAAAACGGTGTTTTCACTCTGAAAACGCATCAAACTGGTTTTCCGTCCACACCACGTCGGAGAAATTTGAAAAACAATCATCGGTTATTACGGATTTGTGTTTGAGAAAAACTTGAGCAGGGAGATCACATGCTTGTCGTGATGTCATCGTTTTCGAAAAGCTCCGTTTTCAAAATGTTTTCTGTCCACACTAAGCGCAAAGCCGGCGTTTTCAAATTCCTCCTGTTTGAAGAGCGTTTTCGAAACGTTCCGTTTCCTTGAAGGATTAGTGTGGACGGTAGGCCTAACCGTAGAAATAAAGCTGCGATTTCAAATTTCTCCGGCGTAGTGTGGGCAACATCTTCTTGTCGCGGATCAGTATGTTGCATTCCAGCTTGAAGCTGATGTTTTAGCGTATTGTTACACGTGTTGCAAGTTGTGGCAACATGTTGCACAAAGCTGAACTCGTTGGCACTTCGCGCAACATAACATGGTACACAAAAACTTGTTGGGAGATAAGTCGCCTCTTGCACCAAACGTAAAACGTTAACAAACGCTTTTAAGCTGGCAGTGTAACAAGTTAAGTTACAAGCAGCAGCCAAATGTTGCTGGTAACGAACTGAATGTAAGGAGCTAAATGTTGCTGGTAAGCGACTTCGGCACGTTAACAAAGTTCTTATCTTATCTTATCTTCATCGAGACGTTATGTCGCCTCAGTTCTACTTGAAATCTATTCTAGGTAGAATGTGCGTCGATGAAAATTCCGCACCCCAAGCAAAGCCGGAAATGCATCGAATGAAATATCAAATAAAACAACTCCTTGAGTTGAAAATTAGTAAAAAGTTTTATTGCTTAAAAAGATAAAATATGTCTAACTGTATGTACAATTTTGACAGTACCCGCAAAATAAACTTATTTAAAAAGCTGTATGACAATCAGTCTCTACGAAACTTCATTTATTTTGTTACATTACTTAGGAAGGTTCTCAGTAACTTACGGTCTGTGGATGAACAGTAGTGGGTGACCATTCAAGTGAAAGCTATCGGAGCAGTACTTTCATGTGGTACTGTTTATTATGCTGTACAGGGTGGTTCTAACTTTTAAGTCTGTGGATGTAACCCTAATGTATGACCATTCAAATGAAAGCTATTGAGCAGTACTTTCATGTGGTACTGTTTATTATGCTGTACAAGGTGGATCAAACTTTTACGTCTGTGAATACATAAACCCTTATGTGTGACTATTCAAGTGAACCCATTGAGCAGTACTTTCATGTGGTGCTGTTTATTATGCGGTTCAAGGTGGTTATAACTTTAATTCTGTTGATGAAATCCCACTCCCAGTGTGTGACCATTCAACTTAAAGCCATTTATTACACCCGCGTAAACGCGTACTTGTCTTCTCTGTTGGTTCACTATTGTAAATGCCATAACTTACTTCTTACTGGGGGAGCTATGGGTTTTAGTTATCTCGCCGCCGACTTGTATTCCTCCACAACAGAGTCCAGAGTGTCAAAAGCGTCCATGAAATCACTCTAAAATCATTGGAATAAAAACACGAGAAAAAGCACCCGGTTAAAGACTTTCATTTACCATCAAATCAAAATGAAGTTGATAATGTCAAGAAAGTACGCTACGTGAGAGCCATACTGGATATATCCACTCTAGGTCTTGACAATACTAATCGAGCTCAGCAAGATCCATACAGAAAAGACCAAGAGTAGATATTTTCCCCAGTATGTTCCCGAGCAGCTTGGTTGATAAGAGATATAAAACACGACTACGTGATCGAATAATAAAGCCAAAGCTATTTTTTAATCTATTAAATCAATTAATCAATTTATCGCATCGCTTCTGGACCTCCGCCTGGCCTGAAATCATTTCGCGCCATCAGTAAACATGTTTAAAGAATTAAGGTCCGGACACAGGTTGCAACTCTACCAACAATATTGTACAAAATCTAAACTTGCCGCGCACAACTGTTGTCCAAGTAGAAACTTGCTCCTCTTTGGCAGCATTGTGCACAATAATTTCAGAGTGTATCTACTATCATCAAAACTGCGCACAATGGCGAAGCACGGCCAATAGCCATTTTCTGTCGTTTAACTATCTAATCGCTAACAAAAACGCGGCTGTTCTCGTCTGAAAGCAAAAGTACTAACTAAAGCAACTTTAGTAGAATTTTACTCGTATAGTAACGGTTGAGTTGTGTCGTCAGCCAGTATGCACCGAGTTGCTGGAGGTCGTCTACAATTTAGAATATCAACGTTTTCTTGTTTCTCCGAAGTTTTGGATGAACGTTTGGAAACATTAAAGGATAATTAAATACCTCAAAAGACTAAAAGAAGGGCATTCATTGTTAGTCGACACGAAACTCAAAATTGTTGGAAAAAACTGATGAGCGCGCGCACACAGCTGTAAGTTTCGAATAACAATTCAGTCTGCGCGTTATTGCTAAAGCGTAAAGTTCAACACGACGAAGAGAAATAATTGGAAATCGTTCTCTGAATGATACGTAGTTGGAATTCTACTATGTTGCCGATAGCTAACGGTGAACGCATTTTGAAACTGATGTACGCAAATTGCAGGAGCAGAACAAGATTCTACTTCTGAAAAATTGCGCCAATATAGGTCTTAAAATTTTCTTGAAAGACCATCTCGACGGGTAGGCAACAGCGTCAGAAATTACAGCGTTTGTATGGGAATTTGTAAAACTTGAATTCTGAACAGTTTATGAACAGCAATATAAATTCTAAATACTAGACAGAAGACTGCATTTACCAAATCTGAGGGATACATATATGCAGCCGTATGCATGTGCTAGAAAGAGTCCAGTCGCTTTTTTTAATTTCCCATACATTTGTCTATATTTTTTTCCTCGAACTCGGACGCGGCTTACAAGTTCTCGTTGCAAGTTACATGAACAAGATCTCCAAAACTGTGCTTAGATCTATTGCGCTCAGCTAGACGAACGATTTCAAGAGTGAACACACGATGCAATTTAATCATCATGAATGTGGCGGAAACATTGCCTGTGATGATGCACCAGGTGTCCAGGGTCTTATCACACTTCGCTGCGATAAAAGGAAGGACAGATATCTAGTGTTGACCTCGAAAGGCATCGAAAGGGTACAAGTCATTTCAAACTTCATTATTGTGCGAATTGACCAGACTAATTTAAAACAAAAAACAGACCAGCTTCTCCTGCGAGCAACAATGACACACAACACTTTTCTCAGCTTAACAGATTGCTCCTCCGATTTTAAGTACATGTACGAGGTTTCCCGTTTTCCAGAACGTCTTGTTATCCAATTTTCTTCAAATGAAAACATATGTGAGAAGACGGTTACCTTAGAACAACCATGCTTCCAGAACCAATGAAGGTAAGCTCCAGCATCATACATTGCTCTTGATTTTACCATGACATCCTCTAATGTCTCTACAACCTTTGTTGAGTTCAAGCACAAAGTGAGTGACTGAGAATCTTTGGGACCAACGGGATTATATTGACCTGTAAAACAACTCCATAAAGTTAAAAACTTTCTCCAGAGCGAAACAATGGCTAACATGTGTCAAGTAATATATCAAATAAGAAAGACCATGTTTTTAATTTACCACATTTCCAAACACAAAGAAGAGGGCTAGAAATATGACACACAGTATAGTGTTTCTGATGCTCTTTTAAGGTGTTTTAAAACGTGGTAAAAACACTGTCTTGAGTGTTTAAAATATCTTCTCACTTGTGGACTCACGAGGCTGCGCCTCGTGAGTCCACAACAAATTTTGACCACTGTGATAACGGGTATCGTTGTTGATAAGAGTACAGACCACGCTAAACCACATCTCGATTTGTTTTTAACCACAATATAAACGTCAAAGAAAATATTTTTCAGAGTGCGAGCTGAAAAAGGCATTGCGTGACACATTGACGCGAACAGCGTTATCTGGACTCTTATCGAAAACGGCAAATTAGCTAATCAGATTGCGAGATTAGTAGCAATCATGGTAAAAATCTGGTTTGCTAGTAAAGAACGTTTGTTTTAACACGATGAACAATCATTTTGAAAAGAACTTGGCCATATGGCAGGGCTCCCACAACCAATAGTAACATTTTTACCACAGCTGAAAAAAATATGAAAAAAAATTAATATGTTACTCACTGATCCAGAAATCAACTGGAAATGGATTCCACTCCACACATGATAGTGAATTTCGCAGCTTATCTTCAATTTTTGTCCACACCTCTGCAAAAGAGCCTTCATGATCTCCACGAGCAACTAACAGTGAACATATGGTAGAGAATGGCATTCCCTGTCTATCATATCTGCGGATCGAGTGTATGAGAGACTGTGCAAGGCTTTCCCAGGAAACTTTTGACTTGGCAATGTGATGCACTGTGGCAAATTTCTTTGATGGCTCGGCACAAACAGACCGAAGCATCTCCCATGGCTCATTGCCACTTGAAACACCAGCTGCCAGTTGGGATGATAGACAGGTGTCACTCTTGGACATGCGGGTCTCTGAAGAGGAAGGATTTACAATACCTCTGTAGCGTAACAGTGCTGAAGCTGTTGACCTGGGTTGTCTAGTCATCTCAGTGTAGCCATCTAACTCAGATGTAAAAGACGACGTATCCACAAAGTGGTCATCAGACATAACTGATGAGGAAGTTGCAGAGCCAAGACTTCTACCAAACACAGACTTGTAATGACCGACATCAGATCTGTCCCATGATTCATCCAATGAAAATGAAAGCTTCTTAGAAATAGTGTCCGTTTTATTTGATATTCCTCCACCTTTAAGAATTTTTTTCTTTTCTTTCTTGTCATTGGTTACATCTACACCTCCCTTAAACCCCTTCTCCTTAAGTCTTCCCTTTATCCGTCTTGGCTTGCTTCCCAAAGGTTGGAACACGCCAGCAAGACTTGCGGAGATGTAATTGTTCATGTCTCTGAGAGAGATGGAGCCAGAAGGCTTCTGGCGTGATAGCAGACCAGTGTGTGCTGTGATATGGTGGAGAACATCATCATTGCTGAAGAGTAACACTCCATCTGCATGACTGAAGGAGAAAGGAAAAGTCAAGAGTAATTCTTTCTGAATGGGAACAGAACACCACTTTGAATTCTCTTCAGAGGAGATAAGTGACCCAATAAGCTAACAATCCTAGTTTATACATGTACACTAAGCAGTGATAGGCTAATGGTCTAATTAAGAAAAGGTCACTTAAAGATTATTTTAAGTCTGTATATGAGCCAATTGGCCCACTAGGCTGGCAGCTTATCTTGGTTTCTGTAGCATTAAGCAACTAGGACTGTATCTCATTCTACTCCCCCGTGGATGGGATGCTAATCCATCTCAAGGCCACCTCCCAGCATAAATTTCCCTGTACCTATTTATGCACCTGAGTGGGGAGAGGCTCTATGAGTCAGAGCAAAGTGTCTTTCCCAAGAACAGAATCTATCATTTTTAGTGCAGAGTGCACTATTGGGATGGTTTAGGGGGCTGCTGTTCGCTAAGACACTAATGTACTAACGCCATAAGGTGNCAGTTTAAGCGGAGGTTTTGTTCTCCTGCTGCTCTTTCTAGAAGCCATAGTGTAAACATCAAGATACGTACTGTAAAGAAGAATTCTGGAAAGAAACTTGCGTTGAGTGAAGCTACGCTGTGCACAAGCACATGGTGAATGAAGTACGTAGAGCGCATGTCAGAGAAAACTAGTACCAGTCCTCTCCCCCTTCCTCCAGAGTTAAATACAAATAAATGTAATTATTTTAGACGAAAACATGTTCTCCGTGTTTCTGAGTTATAGAAACCCTTGTGAAAGTTTGGGAGAACTCAAAACAATGGGGAGCGTTTCTCCTTTTCCCAAACTTCCACTCGTAATTCTATAACTTGACAGAAACACGGTACATGTTTTCTCTTTCTTAATTGGCAAGAATCTGTTTTATCAGACCAATGTACTCACCGCTGTAAGGATGACAAACTGAGAAGTGAGTTGTAATGTTGCAGTGGACTGTCACCAGATGAGTGAGGTGATACAGCAACAGACATGACATGAGCCAAGGGATATGTGTCCCTTATTCTCTCAACCAGGCATGATCCCAAACCAGAGCCAGTACCACCAGTGAGACTATGGATCACAATAGTGCCTTGTGGAGAAAACAACAGATACATGTATTTAGGAAGATGTTACTGGGTGCAGTGTGGAAGTGCAGTAGCCTTACGGTTAGTGCGCTTGCCTCCGCATCGAGTGGTCCGGATTCAAGCCATGACTGGGGAATGTTTTTATGTTATTGCAAAAGACACCTCACTCTCACAGTGCCCCTCTCCAACCTGGTGTATAAATGGGTACCCGCAAACTTGATGCTGGGAGACACCCTACAATGGACAAGAATTGCAACCAGGGGAGAGTACAATACTCCTAGTTGCTTCATGCAACAGAAACAGGAATAAGCTCCAGCCTGATGGGTCACTTGGCTCATATGAAGACTTTACCTACCTACAGAAGGCACATAATGACACTTGAAAGAATTTATTTGAAAAAGAATAATTATATGAAATTCATTTATTTGAATTGCAAAAGAACAAGATTAAATCAGAAGAAAGACCGCATTATGGGTCATGGGTTCAAATCCTGCTCAAGCCTGAACATTTTATTATCAGCTGTTGATATTTACCCAAACTCACAAGAATACCTGCATATAAACTTTTCCTCTTGCTTAGTAACAGATGAATAATTTTACATTTAAAGTTCTGGTTGAATCTCTTGGTTCACAGCCAAAACTCTCACAACAAAGGTAACCATAATAATAAAACATTAAAAACTGAATAATTGGATAATGCAATTCAAGATGTTTTCATTGCCTTAGCAATCATGCTATATGAGCCATTATACCATGCTCTAGAAATATGCTAAGCATATGTGTAATTTTCTAGGGCATTTTTATTTTTATTTTACTCTAGTTTTCTATATCAAGGGGGCATTTTTGTAATACAATTATTTCACCCACACATGTTGGACTTGAGATGATTATAGCCCACTCAGCGCGACGCATCTCATTGGCTATCTAACATCTCATATCCAACTCGCGCTTGTGGAATAAAAGTTGAACAAACTTTGCATGGGTTTCTACAGTTCAAAAAGGAAAATGCAGTACTACACCATGAGATTTTATCACTGTAATCTCCTTTAAATTTATTGCTGATGAAAAGCCCATTAATTGTAGCCTGCATAGCAAACATAAAATGGGAGAGAGAGGAAGAACTCTTGCCCCAGCCCTCCTCCATCCACTTCTATCCCTTCCCCATTAACACCTGTACCATAGACATACTCTCTCCTAGAGTATAAATGAGTACCAACTTGATCTTAGACCACTTGTAACAAAATTGGGGGGGGGGGGAACCTGCCATGGACAAGCATCCCATCTAGGGGTTAGAGCAACAGTCTCTTAGTTGCTTCGCACTATCAAAACAAAGATAATCACCAGCCTGGCCTGATAACCAATCTGTAGGTTTGAAGAACGACTTTAGCCTTCACCCAACTGCGGTGCATACAAAAATTCAGTCGCTTACCAGCATAGTTATCACACCTTTCTACTTCTTTTCTCACAGTTTCCATGGCCCTGTGTAACAAGGATGTTTCTTCTGTTTCTCCACTCAGGCCATGATAACCTAATGCCCAGTTATTTCCTCTTCCTCGCTGACCTGAGATCATATTTCCTTCCCTATACAATCTTCCTGATCTTGTGTCTTCGCGATAATTATGGTTAATGACCTTGGTTTCGCTGTCCACACAGACACATCTTAGTTTGCCATCCCTGTGGCTAAGTGGGTGGGTGTCACTCTTGTCAATCAAGCTCATTAGTTCATGTCCTACTTGATTACCACACTGCCCAACAAGAAGAATGATCGATGACATGGCGTGTAATTAAGAGGTTTGCGATCCTATGCGCTGTTCTTTTCAGGTTCCACAGACAAGATCTTACAAGAAAGCGCAGTTATAAATGACGCTTTACATCTTGGACTCTTAACATTACTGTGTCAATCGACTGGAATATCGCATCTCGTTTTTGTTCAACCGATTGAAAGCTCTTTTTCAATTTCCGCAAGCCTAACAATCATTTTCTCCCGCCATCCCGCCATCTTTATTTCATACCGAGCAAGGGACTGGGCCGACTTAGATATTACCTTATTTGGATATGGCATCCGCAAAACGTCTTTTTTTGGCCTGCGGTTTCTCATTTGGGGGAAAAACAGAAAATTCTGCAACTTTGTAACCTGTTTGTGTCTTTTCCGTTCATCTTTACGTTGAAAAAGAGCGGCGCAATGGCGGAAAAAACGCCTCACTTTAATGCAATTTTAAGTAGAGTTCGAGGAAAACTAAGATCTGAGAATGTAAAGCTTTGGCTTCCTCCGTACACCTCATCAAACGATCAACCCGGATATTACCCGGAGGTAACTTATACAAGCGTCAACTTAAAATTAATTGATTCTAAGCGTAGAAGTATTTATTTTATAAGCCATTCTCACGCCTTTCCTTGCGCAAACTGGAGATATATTCTCAGTAGCAAGTTGTAACAAATAGATCCAGTATAGAGGAATTCCCTTCTGCTTACAATGTAGGTAAATAATCTCTAAGGTTTAATATGAGCTAAGCTTATAGAGCATAGTGAAGCCTCTGTTAGCTTTGTTAACAACAAATTCATGTGTGGGTTATTTTATCATTTATAAAAGGCCTGCAAAACGTACACATGTGAGTTTCCAGTCCTTGACCCGTATGTATTGTGGACATTTGCATTCATTTGTTACAACAGTACTGTACCTTTGTACTGTTGTACCTTTGTACTGTTGTACCTTTGTACAACTGCATGATTTGTTCAAGTCCCTAAAACCCACACAAAAAATCAGTGCTATGTATCGCTGAGTTGCCAAGTTATTTAGGGCCAGGCACATTGCAGAATGGTAGAAGGATTCGATAATGCTGACAACATCAATGTGAACATCAACGATGATGATGATGATGGCTGCTCACACACATTCCCTTTCAATTAATATTGATTTATCATACCATCTTACAGCCCTGCTGATGCAATCACACACAGCAAAAATAAGAAAGAAAAACATGATGTGAGCATACATATGTAGGGGTAGAAAAGTTGGTATGAGCTTGTCTGGTTAAATGCTCTCTGACCCATGTGCATTGAACAATTCATTCATGGAATTCAGAACATTCACCAACACAGTGTCAAAACTTTGCAACAAAATCAAGCACAATAACAGCGCTGTGTTGAAAATCTTATTGACTGAGCTAGTTCAGGCTAGGGAGGAAATATTTAGGGATATGTCATAGCCTTGGACAAGATATTTTTCTTTCAGTACTACACAGGCAATGCATGTCACTGTTTATATGGAACTCTTTTCAAGTTGCAAAGATTTCTATTTTGGGGGTCAACCCTTTATCTAATTACTGAATTGTAGTATTGATATATAAAAATTAATAGTCAATTTTTTACTAATATTTCACAGGAATTAATCAATCGATACTCGGCAGAATTGAATGCATCTGCTGAAGAAATTTCAGAAGCAATGGAGCAGCTGAGAGTTCATGCTGTTACAAAACTGCAAACAGAGCAAAGATTTACCAATTCAGGGATTGCAACCATCAAAGTTCATGTTACCGGTAGTATTCCACTGGGAATTAACAGCAGGTTACAAATTCAAATTGGTTTGCATGTAAATGGAGCAGATTTTAGAAGAAGGTATTAAATTTGAATTTCAGTAAGTCCAATCCAATATCCTGTCTTAAAACCCACCCCTGCCTCCAGACTACAAAGAATTCCGGAATTAACAATTATTCAGCGAAGTGGAGGTAAATATCCATCACTTTCACCGACACTGAGGTGAATAATTGTTTTAGTATATACATGTACCACACAAGCTGAATAATTAGCGGACCAAAATGTTATATTTTTATGTGTGACAAGCGGTTGGAAATTTTAAAATCTCTCGTGCCCGCTGCACGGAGGTGAATAGTACTTGCTAATCACCTCCGAGTTAACCAATCAGAGTGCATGAAAAGTACTATTCACTTATGTGGTAAATACTAACATTGCATAGTCTTGGCGCATGTGGTTACAGTACAGTACTTTGAAACTGAAGGAGAGGCTGAATTTTTTATGGTTAAATATTGCAGGAGTTTCATTTGTGTCTCATAGTATCAAGAATTTTGGATTTTGTTCTTTTTTGTTTTTTTGTTTTTTTAGCCTTAGTAAAGAAACTGGTCTGGACCCTGAGAAAATGAAACTTATTTGCAAAGGACACGTTATAGAAGATGGTATGTACCAGCCAGGGGAGGTGGCTATTGTAGAGAGGTTAAATTAAGAGTGGATGTGTGAGCCGTTGGCTGGGAAATAAGAAAGTGGCCAATGTAGAGACTTGCTGTTGTGGGGAGGTGCCCATTAGTGGTGGCTCAACTGTACCTCATGGGAGGCGCGGTGGCCTCATGGTTAGTGCGCTTGACTCTGGATTGAGTGGTCCGGGTTCGAGCCCTGGCCGGGGACATTGAGTTGTGTTCTTGGGCAATACACTACTCTCACAGTGCCTCTTTCCACCCAGGTGTATAAATGGGTACCGGCAAATTTAATGCTGGGGGTAACCCTGAGATGGACTGGCATCCCATCCAGGGGGGAGCAGGAATACTTCTAGTTGCTTCATGTTACAGAAACCAGGATAAGCTCCAGCCTGATGGGCCACTTGGCTTGTATGCAGACTTAACCAACTGTACCTCACAACAATGGCTTTCTCTTGGAAATTCCAGAAAATACAGACCCATTCGCCCTTGGAAATTTCAGGGAATCTAAAACCAGAAGAAAGCACCCCAGGATAAGAACTCAATGATAATTTAGGCACTTTCGCCTAAATGGAATTTAACCTTGAGGCCTCATGTCTATGATTTTTTTTTTATCCTTAATCAGACAAATCGCTAGAGAGCCAAAATGTAAAGAATAATGCCCAGATTATGGTGCTACTATTATCACAGTCAAGTGCAGAGACTCAGCGTCTACAGAATGAAGAAGACGAAACAAAAGCTAGTGTTTCAAGAACAAGACAAGCTGCTGAAGCATTGTCAAATAGAAAAGACAGTGAGTGTGTTTGGTGTTGTTCTTAGATTAGAATAGAGTGCTTTATCGTATACGGCCTAATACCCTCAGGGGGTTGTGGTTAAAAGAGCAGAAAAAGAGCTTTATCATGTAGGTTTAAAATTAAGAGATGAAGCCAAAGTGAACCTTAGTTCTCCCTACTGAATTCACAACAGTTAGTCTTTTTGAATGGGTTATTTTTAATTTTGGAAAACTTGTACAGTCATGTATCTCTAATGATGAATTTTCCAAGTCACTACATGTGTATATTAAAATAAATTATTACTTGTTCCAATGTTCTTTTTGACAAGATCAATGTAATCTCTAAAACTGATTGATCTTGGTAATAATTCAGATTTGATTCCAGTCCTTGTTTGCTTCAATAGTCGCTAGTAGCTACAGATATATAGTTTTTATATAAACAGATATTTTTTTTTAATTTCATAATATCAGATTTCAAAGATGACAGATTTTTCCTGGAGATCAGTGATCAAGAGGGTAAACCAGTCAAGTTACCAGATAGTGAAAGAAAGGTAAAAGAATGAATCCAGCTAATTGTCGTCATATCATTATAATAACAGAGCTGTTTATGATGATTGGCAAGTGACGGCATGAATCCACTACTGGGGCAAATCTAGGGGGTTTTGGGGGTTTGGTCAAACTCCCTAATGTAAAAAAATGGGACATCAAAACATGTTGACTTCGCCTCAGAATGCCAGAAATCCCATTTCCAAGGACCTCGATTTTAAAATTTTCTGGGGGAGGATGCCCCCACACCCATCTACAGGGGACTGCCTTTGACAGTCCATATCTCCCCCTTCTTTAAAATCCTGTATCCACCCCAGCACTGGCCTAACGGGGATGGAAATCCACTAGCCCCGACTTTTGGACAGGACTTTCTTTGCACGCTGCCACTTGGTAGATGAAATACCATTAACAGTCCATCAAATAATGCTTGTTACTCCAAATTAAAGCAATCTGTCAGATTTCCTTTAGTCAATAGTGCACCAATTACTATGCTCCCCACTCCCCCTCCTCCCCTCCCCCTCTCTCTCTATCAAGTACACTCCTAGGTGAAGAGAGAGAGAGACAGTCTGAGAGGAAGAAACTATAGAAAAGCTTTTTGCGAGACTATCTTTATGTTTATTTTTGTTTCTAATCTTTAGGCTTTAACCCTGGCACTTACCTTACATGAAAAAGGAAGAACAGTACTGAATAAAAGAAATTATGCTGAGGCGCTTTTATTACTCCTCGAGGCAGAAAAGGAATTCAGGTGGGTACTGGTTAAAGAAATTCAGCACATGGAGTTCAGAGCCACCTTAAATTTTCAAAAATGTAAGGTGACCCTGAACCCAATGTACAGAATCTTTTTAAACTTTTCTTAAAGTTGCATCTTATCCTGGTTATCAAAATTTAATGATAAAGAAGGGTTTCACCTTGCTGTTTTTAAAATATAAGTATTTAAAGCTAAAATGAAGGGTGTTTTTAGCAGGTCATACTATTACTATGATAACCTATTGTGTCACGAAAATGATAACAACTTGCTCACCAATGATTGGACAGTTTTTTTGTAATGACCCATCACAGTTTATGTCTTGGAAAGTACTGGAAACTGTTTTTAGCCACCTTAATCCAAGTATAAACCAAGCTTATAATTGCTTTGAAGCATTCTAAACATAGTTTAACATATTTTCAAAGAGAAGATGAAACTCAATTCAGACATGTGAGTCGTAGATCTAGAGTGGCCATAAGAAATAAATATTGCTTTCTTGGTTAACTCAAATCAAGTCTGAGTGACCAACTGAAGACTGTTTGGATTCAGTTAAGTTGGTAAGGGTTAAGTTTTGGGAATGGAGAACTAAAAATTAAATAAATAAATTATAATATTTAGAGAGAAAGCCACATCAGCCCTATCTGGTTTTTGTGTGGGTCCTTTATCCTGATTGAATTGGAATTTGGAAATATTTGATTTTCAGCGGGGGCAGAAAACCAGAGAACCCAGAGAAAAACACTCGGAACAAGGCAAAAACCAACCTTACAACAAACTCAACCTGCATATGGCACTGGGCCAGTATCAAACCTGAGCCACATTGGTGGGAGATGAGCACTCTCACCACTGTGCCATCCCTGCTCCCCAACTCTGAGTCTTGGTTCTTGTAACTAGCCAATGTTGATTGTAACTTGTATATGGCCTGTCCTGTATGTGTATGGTAGTTAAAAGTTGGCCACTAATGTTTGTCATTTTTGTTTTCTATATGAAGTCATTGCAGGGCGCAGATTCTAAGTGCTGTTGATAATTACGGAATTCTGTGCTTGGACATTGTCTGGTGCTACTTTTGGCTTAAGAGTATTGTTGATTTACCAAATGCAGGTATTCTAAATTTATTTAATATTTATTAAAAGTAACCTGAAATTATTTTATTTGATGTTCAACAAACATTATGTTATTGCACTCAGTTTTGTGCAATTAAGTGACTCTGCAAATTATCACATTGAAGTTTTCTTAAAATTAATTATTCTGACTCCTCTTTTCATTAATCTTACCTCAGGTCTACTATCAGTTTGTTAATAAGTTAGATTTTGTACCTTAGCTTTCAGTTTGATTATGTTTAAGAAATAGAAAACGTTTAGTACTGTTTTTCTATCGAGTTAAAGAAACACAAGTAGAAGTCTGAGAGAACAATGCTGTGGGAACACTAGCCGACAAGGGAGTGTTTCCACGGCTTTTTTGAGTTCTCCCAAACTTCCTCAAGTGTTTCTAAAATCTATAAGTCAATATAAACACGGAGAACATGTTTCCCATTTCTTTAAGAAAAAGAAAACAACTTGTTTACTTTGGTCATCAAAATGTAACTTCTCTGCTTGCATCATCATTACGTCAACAGTTCATGTTAGTTCTGTGTTTCTATGGCGTTATAGAAACATGACTTTAAACCAATCCATTGGTGTAATTTCTAATATAATTTTATCAACGATTTCATAATTATTGTACTTAATTCAAGGTGCAATAATTCTGAGGTGCAATTAGAGACAACTGACATCTCAGGCCAAACTGTTTTGTGGAAAGATAATTACACATGATTGTTTCCCATTGATGATAAAACTGTCAATGGTGTTTCACTTTCTTTGCCACTGGTTCAGTTGTCTCTCAATTCTTATCACAATAAGTTTTTAACTGAACAAAACTGGCATGTAGCATACCCTGTGCATGTAGTACTTGTACATGTAAACTACAGGTACATGTAGGTTTGTTCAGGTGTTAATAAGTTATACCAGTAAGTAGCCACTGTTCTACAATGCAAGCACATGGAACTTTAAAGCATTTAAAGCGTTGGCATTGCAGCTACGCCATTACAAAGGTGAATGGCAAACATGTCAAGTTAGTTAAACTATGTTACTTATACTAGCTGAGGAAGGGTCTATGAATATAACAAGGCAGTCAATTCTAGAATTTGAACTACTTTTGTCTACTTATATTTTTACCTTTATCAGTCACCCTAAGCTTGATGGTTTTTGTTTTAGAGGAAAAATTGCAAAAATGTAAAGAATGTTTTCAAAGAAGCTATGGACAAAATCTGGAAAGACTGACAAGTGTTAGAGTACGTATTTATTAACTAGCTCATAAACGTATTCATTTTGTCATTAATAGAACCTTTAAATTTAAATGGATTGAGCTTAATTTTTACAACAGTCATGTAATTTCCTCATTAAATTTTGAATTTTAATTCAAAGTGGTCTATAAAGCCTGTGCCAAAAAAGGAAGATGAAAGGAACTTTCTCCATATTACATTGAATATAACAGGATTTGAATATGAATAAATGTAAATGTAATTGTAAATGTAAAAAAAAATGTAAATAGAAATGTAAATAGGACTGCAATGCATGCAGAGACAATGATATTTTATCTTGTACCAGAGGTCCACTATGCAGAATTAGATAATAACAATGTTGTTATTATTATTATTATTGTTGTTGTTGTTGTTGTTGTTGTTGTTGTTGTTGTTGTCAATGGTAGAAGCTATTGATAACCAAATTGAGGAGAAACACTAACATCTGGTATGTTTTGACTGCCATTGACTCATCAAATCTAGACTGAGCTGGCAATGTTTGATAGTTACTTGTAGTCTTTGAATTTCATTGCTTGTGTTCATTTTTCTGTCAGGGTGGTAGTGGGGGTGAGCTGGCCCTTTTTGTTCGACTCCATGTCCTTGAGGCAGTTTGTGCTTATCACAAAGGAGATGTGTTTAGTACTGCAAACTGTTTGGATAAGGTACAGCACTGAGAAATATTTAGGAGAAAAAAACAGAAGGGACCAGAATCCAATTGTTATTTGGGGAGTGGAGGGAAGGGTGGGGGGTCTCCCATTTAAAAAGGGCAGGGGTGCTTATTACCTTATAGGGGTTAAAAAAGCAGTTTTGTTGCCTCTACATGTAAGTGTTTTCAGCCTAAAAAGGTCCACAGCAGGAGCTTTTGTGATACCTTTTAGGGTATCAAGCCAATTTAAAAGAATATGGTATGAGATATTGTGTTATTTTAGAATTGGTACCTCTCAGGGATGAAAGAAATTTCAAGCCACGCCCACAAAAACAGGATCTTGGTACCTCGCAGGGGTTCTTTTCAAAATTTCCAAGGAGCACCACTGTCGTTTTTATGTTGGAGTCCTCTCCCTCCCCCCCCCCCTCCCCCACTGATTCATAATCCTGTTGAATAATTTGATGAGTGGTGGACACTGGCCTGTCAAATGTCACAGACCAAGATATTATTTTAAAATGTGAGTTTCATTCATGATAACAACTTCCTGCTTGCTTTAAAAATATACCCTGAAAATACAGTTGAACATCTGCAGATAGATACCCAGATACCTCCTGTTAGTGAACACTAAACTGCAGTCCTGATGATTTCCTCACTTAAATGCTCCAATTGTGAACTCCCACATTAAGCAAATTAAATTACAGCATCAAGAGATGTAGTCTTCTTCACAGCCATTACTTGAAGAGGCGCGGTAGCCTTATGTTTAATGTGCTCACCTCCAGATAAAGCAGTCCAGGGTCGAGCTCTGGCCAGGATCATTATGTTGTGTTCTTTTGGAAAGATACTTAACTCGCACAGTGCCTCTCTCCACCCAGGTATAAAAATGGGCACCAGCGAACTTAACGCTGGGGGTAACCCTTTGACGGACTTACATCCCATCCAGGGGGAGTAGAAATACTCCTGGTTGCTTCATGCAACCAAAACCGGGATAAGCAAGAGCCTAATGGACCACTTGGCTGGTCTACAGACTTAACCCTTAGTTAACAGCCATTACATGGGTCACCATGCAAAGCTTCTCCAGAAGCATTGTGAGATGCCCCAAATAACAAGTCTAAGGAGACTACAAGATGTACCCTGTATGCTCTGTGCTGATTTGGACTTTACGTTATTATTACATCATTCAATACATTGCAGGCTGAGCTTGTGAAAGGAAAATTACACATTGACCAAGATCAACTAAATCAGTGTAAGTTTGTTAAGGTCCCACCATTCGTTCATTCGTTCACTAATCTGATGTTCAGGCAACATTTCAGTAAATTTACACAAAGATATTTAAACTTAGATGATTATGCTATAAGTTCCTAATAAGCGTTCATTTTCATAGCCTGTTGACAGTCCTCTATCATCTCGTATTATGAATCGATCGTTGAACGTGCGGGTAGAATCACGAGAGAATGGGACGCCTGTGCAAAATGGGGGACCTGATGGGGTAGAGGACGGGGACTAAGATAATTCCCTCGTGCTTCGCGCTCGCTTTTTCCTTCGCGTGCGCTGAAAAATAGAGAGGCTGTGAACAGCCTATCAGTTTCATGTCAAGAGAGATTTTGGAAAATGCTAGTCGTCTTACTTTTGTTCCACAAACAATCATTTCAGCCAGTTCCCTGTGCCAAATCATAGTCACCCATTGGTTTTGTTTCATATAATGAGTCACTGTTCTGTATTTGCAGTATTGATCATGGGGTTTTCTGAGTCTGAGGCCCGTCTTGGTCTACGAGCTTGCCAGGGAGATACAACTTCAGCTGTTGATTACATTACACAGAAAAGACAGGTGAATAAAAAAAACCAGGACCTGTTAGTGCAGCCACACTTTAATTAATTTTCGACGTGGAGTCGTTAACGAAATAATCGCTATTGCAAATTTGGAGAACAGACGTTCCGGGTGTTAGACCTCAGAGGAAGATGACTTTCTGAAACCCTTTATCATCCTGGAAATGTCTTTGTCATGGTTTCTTCTTGTTAATCACAGGAGAAAAAAGAGAGAAGAGAGAAAGAGAAAAAGGATAGAACGAGAAAAAAACTGGAGAGAAAACTGGGAAAGACTGGAACAGGGGAATGGTAGGCACTCATTTAATCACGTACAACACATACCATATCAGTACAAACTGGGCCTTTTCACTGTCGAGTTTTATATGTGGTGGACAGGTTAGCGATTTTGGAGTTTATTGTCTTCAGAAATTATTCCTTGGAAGTGATATGTCATCATTTTATATCAGTCTTTGCGGGTTTAGAGTATTATGTCTTTGTCTGAAGTGAACGTACTTACGAAGTTTAGTTAATGAGGTTACTTGACTAACACGTTTGGGCCACAATGTACGTTGGATCTTGATAGTACAGGCTATGTTTATCGTTTGAAATATTGTTAAGCCCTGTCCAACCGGGAAATGTTTGGCGACCAAGCTTTTTTTTTTTTTTTCAGGGTCAATGTGGATGCTTATAACTCTCTTGTCGAGATGGGTTTTTCCAAACATATGGCGGCAGCATCCTTGAGACAAGCAAATAATGATATCAATAACGCACTGCAGGTAAATAATTAAGAATATCGTGCCATAAAGACTGCAAACAGTGAATACATGTAGACCGTATTCAGAACCCTGTTAATCGGGTCGTTCCAACAGTTCAACTTTGCTCAAGTTTTCAATTTTTCAGACATTTGAATCTCTCGCACATAAACTTGTCTCTTTGTTAGGGACCTTATTAATCTGATAACGCAGTTTCGCTTTTTTTTTCGCTATTTTCCAGCCAATTTGTTAAGTGTAAGACCTTAGAATTATGATTAAAAGCTGCCAATCCTATGTTAAATCTAAGAGTTATTGGGGACATGGAAGAGTGTCGGTATTCCTGCGAAATTGAGGAGGAAGATTGGCTCCAGAAATGAAAATACTTTTAAATGGGCTTATGGTGTCGAAAGTACCTTATTCAATAGACCGATGGCACTGAATCTGATATTGATAATCGGCTCATTTTTTTGACTTAAAAACACTGTAAAGGTAAAATGGTTTCGAAGCTGAGTCAAAACAGTTTTGAAAAATGAGAATTGTTGGCAAAAAATATTTATTGTGATAGCTAAATTTTTGGCCACTTTCTGTGGCAACGTTGTTCCCAGGCCTTCTCTTCTTTCCGCTCTGGTAGGGCATAGATTATCTTAGATTATCATACCTTATCTTTGGCTTAATATTAATATTGCTAATTACTAAATTTTAAACTGATAACAGACTCTTCAAGATCATCCAGGTCTTCTTAGTATCCCTGACATAAGGTAAGGTGAAAAAAAAAAAAGAGAAATTGCACAAGGACATTGACATAGAAGTGTACTTACACAGCCCACAATGCGACAGACACAGAACTCTTTTTTAGATTGTCTAAGCTGTCAATAATCCTTGCTCTCCACCACTAAGCACTTTAGATCTGTTCAGTCCATTGCCTGGGGGTCCAAATGAAAATGCAACAAATTCGATCTGACCTATCAGAGCACACTAGCTGCACATTATCCAATGAGGAGCCGAAGTTATAACATGGCCTATGCGAGTTTTCCCGCGCTTGTCGCCGGTTACTCGATTTCCCGCCTTTTTTACCAGTTGCACGTTTTCCCGCGCTTGGCGGTTGTTGCACGTTTTTGGGTCGAGTTCTGATTGGCTTAAAAAGCTATTTGTGTAAGTTCTGATTGGCCCAGATGGTGCCTCTTTTTAATTACTTTTTTTTTCTACTCCCATTTTAATCGTTTTTTAGTCCTTCCTTCCTTCACTCGCTCACTCACCCATTTGGTGGTATAATTTCATTGACTTGCTAAACGTACTTCGTCTAAGGTGAAACAAACTGGTTTCGTTGCCTTTAGCTCCAGATCAGCTTTCAGTGACGCCCAGATCTCCGATGAACACGTCGCGCAGGTAAACTATAACTTTTCAATTTTTCTTCTACCGCCGTTTTTTTCCAACGATCAAACTTTGATGTTAAACAACTAGGTTGGTGATGGTATCTTTACACTTTGGAGATTTGACTGCCAACCGTGCATGAGAATTACCAGACCTCGAAAAGTTTAAGTAACTACAAAAAAACTGATCTTGTAGTCAACACCCTGGTTATGGAGATTTTCTCGTGAGCCAACGAGTTGCGAAGCGACAAACGTGACGTGCGTAACGTGATGTGCGTAACCGCTGTGACGGCGTTTCCCCCCAGTAGCAGAAAGACGAAAGAGAACCTTTAGCTCTGGGACCAAGGTAGCACTTAAGCATTCTATTAGAGTGTTTGATCAATAACACCAGCGTGGCTGCTTGTAGGTTATGTCCCTGGGTTTCGCAGCGGACTCTTCCAGAGAAGCTCTAAAACGTTGCCATGGTGATGTTCAGCAAGCAATTAACCTGTTGGAGTCATGTGGAGGAGTGCTCTCTTCATTACAGCAGCTTGCTCAAGGTAAGTGGTTAGGTTTAGACCAATGTATTTTTATAAAGGGGTGAGTCGATATATTTTTTTTAGAAAGAGGCTTTTTTTAGCGTCAAGTCGTGCAAGAATTTTTTTTTTCCTATTTGCTGTATATGTTTCTTTTGCGAGGCTCGGTTTGCACGATTTTCTCTCTCACTTTTTCTTGAGGTGGAGTTTTATGGGGGTAGTTTCCCAATTCCCCCCCCCCCTCCCACCCTTCTCACCACCCCGCTTAGACTAGAATATAATGGTCTATTCGGAAAAAAAAGCTCGATATATAGTAAAGTTAAACGGTTTACTTGCATTTTTCTTCGCCCTTTCGGGACAGCAGGGGCTCTAAAAACTCTATGTGGCAGTAAGGCCTCGTGCTCTCTTACTGGGAAATATAGTCAACGTAACGAAATTAGTTACGACCGATTTTTGAGGCTTTTGATATAGGTGATGGAATTTCGGTTATCGGTTAAATTTTCGGCGATTTCTTACGTATTATTTAAAGCTTCGGCCTATTTTTTAACTTCAAGTGAATTTTCCAGATCTGAGATCTATCCACTTTCAGTAAAAAAAAAAAACTCGGTAATTTCCCAACTGACAGTTAAACTTTGACCTATTCTTAACAACTGAGATAAACCCCATGCAGGCCCTCACTTTTTTGTGAGGTTTAATTCAAATAAGACCTTTTGTGGACCATCGTTATGGTGGAGAAGCTCTGATCTACCACTGTTAATAGTTGTATTTTCAGTTGAACTCGGTTAGTTCTTGATCCAAGCAAGGGTTAACTAAGGTTTTTGATATTCTCTGCGGGCTGGGCTTGCAACGCAAAAGCCTCTTTAGCACGGCGCGATAGTCCTTGAAGCGGTAAAAGTAGATCACGGGATTCATTGCCGAGTGCGAGAGCGCTAACAGCAATAATCCGTCATGTAAGGCGCCGTGAGTTGTCCTGGATAAAGTTTGTCTTGTAACAGTAAGAGGCGCAAAGCAGAGTGTGAATACGCCAACAACAAGCCCCATCGTCTTGGCCACTTGTTTTTCCATAGTATGAGATTGGTGTTGGCTTATATGAAGTTCAGGCTGGATTTTTTTCTGCCGCCAAACGACGAAGAAAATTTTCACATAGCATGCAGTGATGACAACGTTACAAGCGATGGTGGACGCCGTCGCAAAAAGCGTTGTGAAGACGGCGCTAGCGTCAAACGCGGCAGTCACGCCGTACATCATAGACAACGACCAACTGATTCCAAGAACTATTCGGATCCGTGCCCGAGTTATGTAAAATTTATATCTCAAGGGCCAAGACATGACGAGGAAACGCTCAATGCTGACCCAGCAGAGTATAAGCAAAGAGGCGCAGGAAGTGAGGCTGACAAAAACTCTTCGAGAGTACAGAACGACTCGAGATAAGCACAGTCCCTGTGTTTTTCGCATTGTCCAAACGAAGTTTAATGGAAGGGCAACAGCCGAGACCATCAAGTCTGCGACGCTGAGATTCACGATGAATAGATTGGACACGGAGTTCAATCTCGACGATGAGACAAGGATTAGAACATTGCTTAAGGTTCCCAGTACTGTTGTGATAAGGTTGGCGATGGTGAGGGTTATTCCCGTTGAAAAGTCGTAACTGCAGCTCCGATTTGACACATCAGAGTATTTAGCATCCATTTTTGCTCGCCTTCTCTGCAAACTTGACTCCTTGATGTGGATGCTTAATTGAATATCCGCAAGTCTTCAAAACCTACAACAGAAGTTCCGTCGTTGGAACCATGTATTCTGAATGCTTCGCCTTTTAACCTGCATTTAACACTTTTCACAGCCGTCCAGTTTTAATTTGAAAAGGTGTTAGTTTGTCGAACACTTTATTGCTGTTGTTTTAAATGCAAACAAGAGACCTTGACTGTATGTCAGCTATTTCGTTAATTACAACTTATTTCCACCTTAATAGTCATTTATAATACGCTGTGCAAATGGCACCGGAGAAAGCCGTTTCATGAACGACTGAATATCCGCAAGTCTTTAATATCTGCGAAAGGTGCCCCTTTAAACCATTGTTTGAACTGGCAAAACTGAGAAGCTTAGTTTTTTAATTTGACTTATTGTTCCGTTGCGGATAAACTTTGTTTGATGTTTTCCAGCTGTGCCACAATTTTCATTCGCACGGAACGGAAACACAAAGAAGCGTTTTGTAAAAGCCAAAATTAAAACGCTAATATTTGGTGACGCCATATCGTTATTTTAACTTTCTTTCAACACAGTCATAACAGCTAGACAGTGCTGAATTATGCAGTCATTATGTTGTGCTGTCCTTGTACGGCTGATGTTTTCAGGCGGAATATACACTAGACAAAAGAAGCCTTTTTTTCTCTTATCCACTGCCAACAAAAACTCTTTAAAGAAAAATCACGGAAAAAACTAATTTCTGAAACTTGCCGCTGGAGGTTTGTCCGCTTGAGAAGTAAACGAACTTTTTTAAGGTCGTTATTATAATCTTTGAAGTACTTTTACAATCTATATTGTTTTGGTCCCTCAAGCCGGTTCCTCGAGTCTTCGTTCCTTCTGTGTCCAGTTGCCACTGATCATAGAATCCCTAAAACCCAACATCGTTATAAACCAGACTGTATGACGGAAATTAAGAAGCAAATCTTTATAATTATTATTCTTTTTAATCTAAGTTCTTTTGTCACTTGCTGAACTTGCGCGAAAATCTCCTCAAAACTCAACCACTTGATCAACAAGACCGCGCAACGCAAATCAAGCCAAACCTTAATTTTTTTCATCATGTTTGGATAAACAAATTAGGTGTTATTTAACACCTGAAGTGCTGAGCTCGCGCTAAAATCTCCTCGAAGCCCAGCCACTGAGCAAACCATACTGTATGACGCAAATCAAAAAGCAAAACTTTACTCTTTTTTTTTTCACTTTTGTTGGATTAGAAAATTAGGTTCATTCACACTTGAAGTGTTGGGCTATAATATAGCATCCCGGCAAGACAAACTCGTAAAAGGAGACAGGAAGATTTTTCTTTCAATCGAACAAAGGGCAGCAGTTCGTAGTCTTCGGTAAGTTTTAGAATGCTTCAGCAGTCTTCAGAACTGTTCAGAAATGTTTGCTCTTAAAAGCGGGACATTTCAGAACCATCGGACTCCTTCGGTTATTGAGGGAAAGTCGTAAAATTGTCGGAAATTTTGGCCCCTACACGCGTCAGTTCGCGTCAGTCAGTTTGGAGTTTTAGCTGGGGAATATCCAGTCACGTGGCGCGTTTAGACCAATCGCGTGCGCGCGAAAATATTTGATAGATTATAATAGACCAATTTCGTTATATTAAAATTCAGCCTTAAACAATAGACCTCAGCACGAGGCTCTGGGGAATAAACCCTACAAACTCTATAGTTATTCCCCGGAGCCTCGTGCCGAGGTCTGTTGCTTTAGGCTGAATTTTAATATAACAAAATTGGGCTGTTAAAGGGGCTAGGTCACGCTGTTTTAGGTAATTTTGTTTAATTTTTTAATTATGAGCTCTAAACGTCATATTGACAAAGCAAGAGTCTTTCATTTGCAAAATCACGGCTACATAACAACTGAGAATGATTTTCCAGCTGTGTAAATGGCATTTTGATATAAACTGACATAAATTTGACAAAAGGTGGGCCGACGTTTTACAAATTTACCCACATGCAAATCATTTTAATCCTTTCCAGTTTTGTCCATTTATGTCCCCTCTTGGCTTTTCTGTGTTTTGATTGAGATCTTCTATAGTTTTGAGCCGTTTCTGTGATATTTTAGATAATTTTATGACCATTTGATCAGTGCTTAAATTGCCTAAAATTGCGTGACCTAGCCCCTTTAAACAATCAGGTTATGAGCTCGAGGTTTCTATCGCGAGATAGTTGACGAGGGTGCGGCCCGAGTCAACTATCACGCATAGAAATCGAGAGCGAATAATCTAATTGTTTTAGTATAAATCGTTCGAAACGTTATCTAAATCCTCTTCACAGACACTAAAAACGCTAAGAGGCGGTCGTAATTTTGTTAACAAGGGCACACTGCAACGCTACTC